CATATTTAGAGTGGAAGGGAAGGAAGACGGGAGCAGCAGCAGAGAACAAGACAGCAACAAAGGAACCGGCAGCAGCACCATCCCCGGTGGAGGAGATCTTGGATGTGAATGGCAAGGAAGGAATTGGGGCAGCAAATGATTACACTGAAGATTAAGACTACAACAACTACCTAGCTGCAGGGGTGGATTGGGTGTGGGAGGTCCCAGAGCAGCGAACACCACCCAAGGAACTTGAGGACAAATGGGAGCATGACGAGCAAAAGGAAGGAGCTGGTGAGATCCATGGAGAGAGCACTGACCAAGAGGAAGCAGAAAATCAGCATGGGCATGATTGTCTCAGGATCAAATGAGGATTGCTCAATGTTGCACTATCCATGAGTATAAGGTGCTTTTATACTTCCAGAGTACATCAGGTAACCAGGTTTATCCTATCCAAAGGGAATACACCCTTCTAGAAATAGAAGCACCATGCGTATAGCCACGCAAGGCTATTGACTTTAAGGGATTACGGCAGGAATATGCTAGATATAGCGCGCCAGTATATTCCGAGCCTGGTCGGTGATATAATCATAATAAGATGATAAACCAAAGGAAAATGGAAAAAGGAGGAAGAGGAAACCAAATGAGATGAGATAAAGACCAAATGAATCAGGATAAAACGAGGAATGAAATAGAAAGGAAATATGGAAAGGGGAAATTAGTGTAACGGGGTTGTTCTCTCACACTTCCCCCCCTCAAAGCTGGGTGGTAGAAGTAACACCCAGCTTGGCAAGGTAGTCGCGAAGAGGACGACGGGCGTTACCCATGATGAATTTAGTGACGTAGCCTCAGAAGGATCAGAACCTTTCCAGCAAAGAAGAAGCTCCAGGGCGCCAATCTGACAATGATGGTGTCCGAGCACGTAGTTGTCCCATGGCATGGACGAACACACGTGGCGACGGTGGTTGGCATTCGGTATAGAGCATGTTTGGTCTTGATAGGATTTAAGAAGCTGGTATGGAAGGCGTTTTGGATCTTCCAAGTGGCTGGTAGGCAGAAGCGGAAGTTGTCTGAAGTGACCTTTGCTTCAACGATGATAGACCCGCAGAAGCAAGATTGAAGCTTGGATGGAGGATGTCTTATGTCAAGATTACGGTCTGGATAGCGGTAGTGATGAGTGGCCAAGTGCTTGTGCTGTTGTTGGATGTCTAAGAGGCGCCTGTGTGGTCGATTTACAAGATGGTGGGCGATGGCGATAGAATCGGAAGCCAGTTCGACTGTAGCAAGAATTGTCTGTTGCTACGGAGTAAGCAGGCTCCGTCCACAGCAAAAGAAGGATGGTGTGTATCACCGTCAGTGATATATGGGAAGGTGCAAATCGTAGTTGGAGATTTGAGTGATTGGAACAGTGTGCTGTAACGTGCAGATAAATGGCTATGTTGTCTGCTCTGTGCATGCTTTACCCGCATCTGGTCCACGTATGAAGATCACAAAGTGTTGGTGGTATGGCGGTCATGTCATAGTACTTCTTCTGTAGCAGTGTTGTATCCAATACATGTAGCTTCTGTCGAATGCTGGTCCATGCCTTAGTGTTGTCGTGAGTCGTACCCTCTCGGCATCGTAGTGCTGCTCAACGTATCCCTTGTGTTCAGAACCATGCGAGGGGTTGGTACCATAAACGTGGAGTTGGTAACTTCCAAAATCGGCGCCAAAGTAGTTTCCCTCAATGGTTGCTCAAGCAAGGAATCTCTGCAATGTAGATATCCCACGCTGATGGGTTAGGACATCTGGGAATATTAGGGTTATTCCCAAATAATGGTCTCCCATTTCCAAATGGGCAAAGCTGACAGCCAATCCAATATGAACTTATGCACTTCCAGTTTAGCACGGAGGCCATTGGTAGGCATCGGTGTCTGGGCGCACATATTGGGATAGGTCTTCTGGTGCCATCATGTGTTGTCTCATTCCGTTACTGTCCTTGAAGTAGCGTTGATGTCGAAGATGTCTCAGCTCTGAGCATCGGTGTTGAAATCTGCTCCATTTTGGCAAATAGGGCTATTGTTGGAGATACGCGGAGTCCACTATCCAGAGTGGCGTCGGCGCTCCATTCCACGCCTATCCGTTTCCGTCGAGTTGGTGCTGGTGATGGATTGGTTGCGACGCAGGTTTTATGACTTTAAGGAAAGCCATAGGCCATGAGGACTTGTATACCAGTAGAGTACCGTAGTCCTCCCATCCTCATAAGAGCAAATATCTCCTGCTCTTGAGGGTATATGGCATTGCCATATTGTTTCTTCGCATAGTGGTGTCTCTTTCCCACTAGCTGGAAATCATAGTACTGTGCCTGGCTGGGACTTTTACGATCCACTGGAATATAATCCAGCATTATGTCCATTGAGCGGAGAATCATCCATCAGGGTTTGGATATGACTGTTGTGTCGAGTCTTCTGCTGCGGCGGTGGTGGCGGTTACGACGACGGCGGCGGCGGTTGCAACGAAGTCGACGGCGGCAGCTGCTGCAGAGAATTCTCTTAACTCGTAATGGTTGAAGGAGAATCCATCAATTCCCTCTTCCCACTAGAGTGTTCTTGATGGGTGTAACAGGTGTAACTACCAGAAACACGTGCACATTGGTACACATGGGTTGCTCCATTGCTGCCGGTGATGGTGTCATTTATGGGTATGAAGATAAATTTGCTTCTCCTCTCAATGTATCCACGGGTAGCAATTCCTGGTATGCTCATCCATTCCTCTGATGTACGGTCGGTAGAGCGCATGATCGTGTTGTAGTAGTTCGCATGTCCTTCACGTGTTGACACCTCGTGTTGATTGGCATTCTCCTGCATCGTCGAAGTTACGCTAATGCTTGTAACGCTTCAGCTTCTGGTAGAATCGCCTCCAATGCATGTGCCATAGGGTCGCTAGTGAACGAGTACTTGCCGGATTTGAGGTTAATTACTCCCCAATCTCTCAAGCATCATGACATGCGCGGAGAATTTTCCACGAAGGTCATTAACACCTAGAATCCGACGCATGATTGGTGTGTCGCCTCATGAGATTGATGTTCAGGCTGCTCCAATCAATCACTTCATATGGCTGAGATTCTTGATGACGACGAATCGATGAGCTCCTGTTACGAAGTAATGTCTCGCTGGAGTAAACGAGACGGGTTCACTTTGTCGTCGTTGCGTGCGAAATCTTCTCCTTCGTAGCAACTTGAACTTGGAGCATTGCAAGAGAAAACGGCTACTTCTCTGCAATCATGTAGGTTGTCGATCAAATTTATGAGATGAAGTGACTCATGGATGGAGAACATGTCTTCATGCAGCTCCATTGTTATTCTGGGGTGAAGATCCGCTATGTTGGTGTCGATCCATATTTAACGAAAATGACTTCGTCAAAATAAATCGATCGTTATCGACACTAGTCAGAAGATGCGTCGATTGTGCAGTCCCTGGTTACGAATGTTGTCTCCATGATGATGTTTTCCCATAGTGTGGTCTCCGCTGCATTCGTGCCGTTGATTCCGCACCGATCCGACGATCCACATTCTCTTGTTAGTTTTCTGTTTGCAGCTATTACCAAGTAGGTACTTCTTCGGCAGATTTCTGACTCTGCAGATGATTTGCGCGCCAAATTCGTCACCAAATGACGGAATTCGAATTTGGTTGTCCAGATGATGTTAGCGGTGTCGATGGCGGCTAATTTGTTTTGTTTTGCGCGTCATTCTCCCTTTGTGCAGAAGTCGTGTTCCATCTCGTCCGTTGAGGCAGAAGTCGATCCGACGGTCCAAACCCCAAGCGATCTGAAGATATTCCTCAGTCGCGTTCAGCAGTTTTCGGTGCCCGGGTTGAATCGTTTCCTCCATCAATTCTCGGTCGTCGATGTCGGTTGTCGAACGATCGGACGCTCCAAAGAATTTTGCGGATTGCGAGGTCCCGTTCCCAATCGGGCTGAAATCCAATCTCGCTCAGAAGGATTTCGTTTTCGCCTCGGTCGATCTGAAGCATCGAATCTCCATCGGACGGATGTCGTCGGTCGCAGCTGCACACATTTCCGCGCAACTCCAATAGTCGTGGCGAACTGCGAACTTCTCGAAATGTCGCATGGAGTGTTCCGCAAGAAGTGACGCACTCGCAAGGTCGAGGCCGTTTGCCCCCGCGAAAAAATCGGCTCCGTCGATGCAGTCCATCGAACGGTCGGCGAGGCATCTTGCCTTCGAAGGGAACCCCAGGTGCAACTGCGCGAGGCTAGTCGAAACTTAAACGAAAGTGCATTGTACTTACAGGAATTGAAGTTTCGACTATCCTGGGGCCCCAGTGGTTAAGCGTTGAGCTGAAACCTTGGCTCTGATTACCAAGTGTCACAGGATCGAATGAGGTTTGCTCAATGATGCACTATCCATGAGTACAAGGTACTTTTATACTTCCAGAGTACATCAGGTAACCAGGTTTATCCTATCTAAAGGGAATACGCCCTTATAGAAATAGGATCACCATGCGTATAGCCACGCTAGGCTATTGGCTTTAAGGGATTATGGCAGGATTACGGTAGATATAGCGCGCCAGTACATTTCGAGCCTGGTCGGTGATATAATCATAATAAGAGGATAAACCAAAGGATTATGGAAAAAGAGGAAGAGGAAACCAAATGAGATGAGATAAAGACCAAATGAATCAGGATAAAAAGAGGAATGAAATAGAAAGGAAATATGGAAAGGGGAAATTAGTGTAACGAGGTCGTACTCTCACAATGATGGAGAGGAAAAAGTGGACGAATCTGCAAGCTCGGACCATACCGACCCGTGGAAGCTGATTAATTCAAAAAGCAATGACAAGGCAGCAACAGAAATTCAAGGCCTACTTGATGAAGGTGCTATTTTCATCGGACGGGAACCTGAGGAGGACTCAGTAGAAGCAAGGGCTGAACAATGGAGCTGTAGCAGAAATGGGTGGAGCTGAAAAAAGGAAGGAAGAATTGGGCAGAGGGTAACGTGTAAAGAAACCCACTCCCCGGTATGCCCAAATCCTCATGACACCATGGAAGGATGTTCATACTCACCTTCTACTCATCATGTCGGCAACCGCACTTGTCTCCAAGGAGAGGAGGAAGGCATACAACCTGCCCTCCGAGCCAATCACAGTTGAAGAGGCGTTGACCGGTCCCTATCGGAAGCAGTGGTGGGCAGCTATACAAGAGGAGCTGAACATCCTTGCTGAAAGGGGAACGTGAGAGATGGTGCACATGCCGGCAGGAAGGAACTCAGAGGGAGTTTGCTGTATTTTCAAGATAAAAACTTGAGGGATAGGGCAGCTTGAACGCTTAAAGGCCCAACTTGTTGCAAAGGGATATACTCAATTGGAGGGAGAGGACTACACGGATACCTACACACCTGTGAGCAAGCTGACCACAGCAAGGACGATGCTGAAGGTTGTAGCGGCATGTGGATACTTCTTGGTGCAGTTTTACACCAAGAATGCCTACCTTTATGGCGTCTTGAAGGAAGACGTTTACATGGAACAGCCGCCGGGTTTTGAGGACAGCACGGACAGAAAGTGCAAGCTGATCAAAGCTCTCTATGGGCTGAAACAAAGCCCTAGGGAGTGGTACCAAACCATGGATGCACAACTGATGAAGGGCGGCTTCGTCAAGAGCCAATGCGACCGAGCGTTCTACTGGAAGGGAGAAGGGGAAGACAAGGTCTTCCTACTCCTCTACGTCGATGACATCCTAGTGGCGGGGAGCAAAGGAGGAGAGAGTGGAGGAGGTATGCGCCCACCTTGCAGCAGTTTTCCAAGTAAAGAAGATCCCAAGGGCGTCTCTCTACCTTGGGATGAACCTGGAGCAGAATAAGGAGGAGAAGAAGTTGCTGCTATACCAGAAGAAATACTGCCAGAGATTGTGGGAGAGGTTTGGAGGGCAAGGCACATCAAAACCAGTGTCAACACCTCTTAGCAGCCTTGCACACAAAGAGGTGGATGTGGAGGCAGAGATTGAGACATGGGGAAGCAAGGAACGGGCACTCAAGGACTACCAATCCATGGTGGGTTCCGTGATGTATCCCGTCTCATACACACGCGTGGATATGGCATATGCAGCAAGTTTCCTTGGGCAAAATGTGCTGCAGCCCGAAGGACGCAAATGGACGGAGATGGAACGGACCATTGCCTACCTCTTGCAATGGGAGAATGAAGAACTTTTGTTTGAGGGAGGAGAGGAAACCCTAGAACTTGTGGGTTATGCTGATGCCTCACATGCATCGGACAAAGAGACGAGGAGGGGAGCCTATGGTTATGTCCACCTTCTTGGAGGAACGGCCATCATGTGGCAAGCGAAGAAGTTGACGGGCATCGCCCTATCAAGCGCCGAACCTGAATACATGGCGCTGCTCTGTGCATGTCAAGAGGGCGTATGGCTGAGACGGCTACTTCAAGAGATGGGGATCACCATCCAAGGTCCTACGACGGTCAAAACAGACAGTCAATCAGCCATCGACCTTGCAAGGAACGGCATATGGCACGGACGGATGAAACACATGGACGTCAAGTATCATTGGGTGCAAGGGATGCTGCAGAAAAAGACATTTGAGTTCGTGCACGTGCGGACAGAGGAGCAGCCCGTGGATTTTCTCACCAAGGTACTGCCAAAAGCTAATCATGAGCATTGCAAGGACCTTGTTGGTATTCATACCTTCAAGAACTTGAAGGGGAGTAGCGGAGCAGCAATGAAGGCAACCATCCCAAGTGAAGAAAGCAAACAAAAGATGATGAAGAAATTAGGTTACGTTGTAACCACGGGAGCATCCAAGAGGAGCAGCTAGCGAGCCACAGGGGAGGTTGCTAGGGTGGTTCGCCGCTGCCCTACCGATCTAACTCTATGCCTAACGAGGGTGCGGCAATGCTAAGGACGGTGTGAGGACCATCCATCTAGTTCCAAGGAAAGCGGCATTGATATGGAGCGACGGATAAAAAGGGAGGGAATGACGGCAAGAAGAAAAACAGAAAACCCTAAATGCAGCGGCGGAAGTGGCGAAACAATGGTGGAACAAGGAAAATCAGTGAGGAAGAAATGGAAGAAATCGGTAGAAGAAAACCTAAGAAAATGGGGAGCTTGGGATCGTCCGACAACTTGCGTGTGAGGAAACAACAGCTTGGAAATGCTCTTGCAGGAAACACCAGCCAAGAACAGTGGGAGAAACAAGGTGCAGGAAATTCGTCCAACACAGATCCCGGAGCACGTTCAGTTGAATTCTGGAGAACCAAATTCGGTGTCGGTTTCGGACTCCGCGGCTTTCAGAACATCGCGGTTGGCAGAAATCTGAGATTGGCAGAATTCCGCGGTTGGCAGAATTCCGAGGTTGCACAGTGCACCAGCCACATTACGCGAACCGCACAAACGTTCTGCCTGCTTATAAATGCTTGTTTATTTCTTGTTCAAACACAACTCATTTTCAGTGCCAATTTCTCCCTGAAAATCTGCAGAAACTTTCCAAGTCGACTAAGTTCCTCCAACGTCAGCCAGAGGCTCTTGCGAACCTATAATATTTACATAATGTCTTCGTTTCTCTCTCAGCGTGTCGTCAACCTCCTAACTTGCTAGTCATACTAGCCTTTTCCTAATTTATTTCCCTAGTTCTCTCTCTTCTTATGCTCCTTCCTGTTTTCCTGTTTTCTAATCTCTGATCTCTCTAGGTGCTCTTGCTTGTTAAGGAACCACGGGTAATCACCTTTCAGCTTAAATCAAGGTACGGTTTCTACCCTCCCGCCATGCCCTTCTCCTCTACTCTCTTCCATACCTTGAATCCATTCCATACCTTCACTCCTTTCCATACCTTGACTCCTTTCCATACCCTGACTCCTTTCCATACCGTGACTCCTTTCCATGCCTTGACTCCTTTCCATGCCTTGAATCCTTTCCATGCCTTGACTCCTTTCCATGCCTTGAATCCTTTCCATGCCTTGACTCCTTTCCATGCCTTGACTTTTTTCCATGCCTTGACTCCTTTCCATGCCTTGACTTTTTTCCATGCCTTGACTCCTTTCCATGCCTTGACTCCTTTCCATGCCTTGACTCCTTTCCATAACTTGACTCCTTTCCATACCTTGACTCCTTTCCAATTTGCTGCCGGTTTTCCCGTTTTTTCCGATGCCATCACTCCCTCCCCCTTCCTTCGTTTTCAATCCTTCTTTTCTCCCTGTTCCCCACGTCGCACTTCCTAGTTCTCCCTGTTCTCTACATTTGTCGATTAAATCGTCATAGTGTTATCTTACTTCCTTAGGGTGGACTTAATCGTTTTCACTCTCTCTTTCCCTCTCTCTCTCTCTCTCTCTCTCTCTATCTCTCTCTCTCTCTCTCTCTCTCTCTCTCTCTCTCTCCCTCTCTCTCTCTCTCTCTCTTCTTCTCTCTCTCTCTCGCCCTCTCTCCCTCTCTCTCTAACCCTACCTCTCTCTCTCTCTACCCTTTTTCTCTCTCTCCCTTTTTTCTCTCTCTCGTTCTCTCTCTCCCTCTCTCTCTCTCTCTCTCTCTCTCTCTCTCTCTCTCTCTCTCTCTCTCTCTCTCTCTCTCTCTCTCTCTCTCTTTCTTTACCTCTCTTGCTCTCTCTCTATATACCTCTCTTTCTACCTCTTCGTGAACTCTCTTTCTCTCTCTCTCTCTCTCTCTCTCTCTCTCTCTCTCTCTCTCTCTCTCTCTCTCTCTCTCTCTCTCTCTCTCTCTCTCTCTCTCTCTCTTTACCTCTCTTGCTCTCTCTCTATATACCTCTCTTTCTACCTCTTCTTGAAATCTCTTTCTCTCTCTCTCTCTCTCTCTCTCTCTCTCTCTCTCTCTCTCTCTCTCTCTCTCTCTCTCTCTCTCTCTCTTTCTCTCTCTCTCTCTCTCTCTCTCTCTTTACCTCACTTGCTCTCTCTCTATATACCTCTCGTTCTACCTCTTCTTGAACTCTCTCTATCTCTCTCTCTCTCTCTCTCTCTCTCTCTCTCTCTCTCTCTCTCTCTCTCTCTCTCTCTCTCTCTCTCTCTCTCTCTCTCTACCTCTCTTGCTCTCTCTCTCTACCTCTCTTGCTCTCTCTCTCTATACCTCTCTTTCTATGTCTTTCTTGATCTCTCTCTCTCTCTCTCTCTCTCTCTCTCTCTCTCTCTCTCTCTCTCTCTCTCTCTCTCTCTCTCTCTCTCTCTCTCTCTTTCTCCCTCTCTCTCTCTCTCTCTCTCTCTCTCTCTCTCTCTCTCTCTCTCTCTCTCTCTCTCTCTCTCTCTCTCTCCCCTCTCTCTCCCTCGCTGTCTCTCTCTCCCCTTCTCCCTCTTGCTCTCTCTTTCTCTTGCCTTTCATTTACCTTTGTTCTCTCTGCTTCTCATACTTATCACTCCGCTCATAGTCATCCTCACCCAGTATCGTTTATTTTTCCTCTATTGTTTTTTTCTTTTTCATTCTTTGTGGTTCAGGTCTTCTTTGGAAGATGCTGCCAATATTCGACCGTGGACTTATACGGGAGACAGGTGCTATTTTGTTTAATTGCTTTCTTTGTGTTCCATGTTTTGCTGCTAATGTTTTCTATTTTTTAATGTTTTTTTTCTCACTTTGTGCAATGCATTTTGTGGTTCTTAAAAAGTGGATTGTTCTTATCATTTCAGATATGGTTCTTGACACGCTCTTTGAGTGCAGTCATTTGAACTGGAAGAGATGTGTGCAAACTATTTTTTGGAATTCACAAATTGTGTTGTTTAGCCTTTACTCTATTGACTCCCCCCCCATGCTAGCATTGGGGAAGCAAATACTAATGGGAAAATTACTAGATGGGAAAATTAACGTAAAATTAACGTAATGGGAAAATACTAGTGGGAAAATTAACGTAAAATAGATCAGGAAAATGGGAACGCATTAGTTACTGAGCGCAAAGAATAGTACGATAAAAACATCAATGTTTACACACATCGGTTGTGATAAAAACGAAGAAATAATATGGAGACATAAACACTGAGATGCAAATTTGCAGCACAAGTCACACTTGGGCATGAGCCGGCCGAGAACCTGGAAACTGAGCTCCGCTCTAAGTTGCTGAACGTGCCGCCAATCTCACCGATAATCTAGTAAAAGCTTTGTCGCCTACGTGGTCCGCGATCGATGTACATGCACGTCCCTTGAAGGCACAAAAATGCACAAACTTGAGAATGACTGGTTGGTTGGCAGGCTGATTAGAAGGTTACACACATCGGCATCACATGTCTATTCGAATAACATAGCGCTATTCAACACGAAGAGGCATTGAAGGACACATACAAAAAGAAATCGTACATCGTTCGTAGCGAACTTCGACACACTAAACTCTGTTGCTCCAGCCTAGTCACCGTACGGCCACAATTTCCGTGAAGCCTGACCCACATGTAGTCCAAAATTTTGAACGGAAATCAGTCACCACAACTTTCAAACTGTCACAATAGCTACTATGGTTGAGTGAGAGCTGTGTAAAGATAACGAGGATAGTAGGGGGAGTTGAATACAGGGAGTGCTTGGGTTTCGTGAGTTGAAGGCTTGATGACGAGCTGGTTGGCATGCTCTGATTGGTTGGCGCATTGAGATTGATAATAAGATTCCCAAACGTGATGTTAGGGTGCAAGTTTGCCTTGCACACTCTAGCTGGGAATAATTTCTATTCGAGAGGGATTGGGCCACAGAAGTTGGTTTCAGAGACGTAGCTGTTTGGATGCAAGCAACTGGGTGGCAAGTTTGGGTGGTTGGGTTATTTCAAACTCGGGGTGCTAAACCTTAGGTTGGAGTTCAAGAGTGGTGAACTTGATAAAATTTGCGAAATTTGTGACAGTGTCAATTTGTTTTCGCAAAGGATGGATGCACATCTCTACACGCTCGTTTTCTGCTTGAAAGGGCCGCGTCCACAAAATTGCACTAATTTTGAACACATTTCGACCACATTTCAAGCGCGTATCGTTTTAGGGCAGAAACCGAACACGAGGATTTTCTCGATGTAGCCGCCGCCAGCAGCTTGCTTGCAGCTCGCCGCCAGCAGCTTGCTTGGAGCTCGCCGCCGCCAGCTTGCCGCCAGCTTGCCACTGGCAGCCGTCCACCGCTCACTCGCTGCTGCTAGCTCGCCGCCAGCTTGCCGCCAGCAGCACGATGCTAGATCACCACTAGCCTACCACCGCCAGCCTGCTGCCAGTTCGCCGATAGCAGCTGCTACCAGTTCACTGCCAGCCACCTAGCAGCCAGCTGCCAGCTCGCCGCCAGCTCGTTGCCACCAGCCGCCAGCTCGCCGCCAGCTCGTTGCCACCAGCCGCCAGCTCGCCGCCGCCAGCTCGCGGCCACTAGCTCGCTATCGGCTCGCTGCTGACAGCCGTCAGCTCGCTGCCAGCTCACTAGCCGCCAACTGCCAGCTCGCCACGAGCCCGCTGCCACGGGCCCGCCGCCAGCCGCCAGCTCACTGCTGCCAGCTCACTACCGCCAGCCGCCAGCTCGCTGCCAGCCTGCTGCCTAAAGCCCGCCCCTAGCGGCCCGCTGCCAGCTTGCCACCAGCAGTTCCCTTGCTGCCCGCCACTATTGCTGACCAGCCGCAGCCTGCCGCTGCCGCCAGCCTACCGCCGCCGACAGCCTGCCGTGCTGCTAGCGGCCCACCCATAGCAATTAGCTGCCAGCCAGCCGTCAGCCGCTGCCACCGCTCCTCCGGCTGCCACCACTGCTCCAGCCACCGCTAATCCTACTCCTAGCCGCTGCTGCTCCTACTTCCGGGGATCCTCGGTGTCTTCCCTGCCAGCATGGTGACTTCATCGGACTACATCCTGCGGCTTGACACCGAGGGCCGTGGGGTCGACTTTGCAGCCTGTTTTTTCGCGTTCCGCCGGCAGCTGGTGAGCCAGCGTATCGAGGGCGAACTGCTCGAGCTACCTACCATCCCTCGCCCTGACCCCTTCCGATGCAACGTCGGTGCAGTGTGAGGTGTACGCAGCTGCCCTAACTGCGCAGAACAGCTTGTGGGCTCGCGATGCCGCTGCGCTGCTGGCCGTCATCAGGTGCCTGCCGGTAGCCGAGCTTGCGCGCTTTGCTTCGCATGAGACAGCCCTGGCTCTATGGACTGTACTTGAGGCTCGCTACTCGTCCCCATTCTCAGCTGCCCTTGATCGTATCGACCTCCCGTTCCTCTTCCGCCTCCTTCCCCATAGTCGCGGATCTTTTCGAGCACCTCCAAGACCATGAGGTACGCTACCATGCAGCCTGCCCCGAGGCCGACCTTGCTACCCACCCTTCACCCACTTTCTTCACCCTTTACCTCCTCACTACCCATCTCCCTGGCCGCCTCACTCCTGCACGTGACACGCTCCTTGCACTGTTCCCCGCTGCCCTCACCATCGACCTCTTCTCCACCTCCTTGACGGAGGTCTAGACCCGCCTCCGCGCCATCATTGAGTCCACAGGTGTGATGGCGGTCCGTCTTTCAGGGTTGCATTCCATCTCAGGCCCTTGTCTCTGGTGCCTCTGCCTCTGTCACTGAGACCGATGTGGCGGTCATTGCACCTAGCTGCTTGGCCAAGCGCTCGCAACGGCGTGGTGGGCGTGGGGTGTCGGCAGGCGATCGGGGCACTAGTGAGGCCTCAGGAGCTAGCGGAGGAGCCGACACAGAGGAGGAGGGGCACAGCTGCAGCAACAGAAGCAACAGCCTCAGCAGCGGCAATAGCCACCACAGCATCAGCAGCAACAGCAACAACCGCAATGGGGCACTAGAGGCTTTGGCTGTGGTGTCGGCCCTAGTGGTTGGGTCCTGAGGCTGTCGCAACCTTAGGGCTCGTGTGGGTTCTCCGGGGGCCAGGGTGGCATTGGGACGTGGGGTCCTGTACCTGTGCGTATCAAATCTAGCCTGGCCTTCTGCGCGGCAAGGTTTGCGGGCGCACGGGTCACACAATCGCTCGTTGCTATCGCTGCCTGGATGATCTGTATCATGGTCAGTTTGGGCCCTAGGTGCCCCTTCTGGAGTGGCCTGTTCCTATCCGTCGCGGCGTCCCGATGTTTGAGTTAGAGATGGCTCAGATAGCTTCTGCCATGTATTATGTGTATTCTAATGCTTTAATTATTGCTGACTCTTATTATCATGATGTTTGCAGTCAAGGAGTCTCTCCTGTATGTACACTAGGATCCTCTGCTTTGTGTAGTCTAGGCTCCTCTGTTTTGTGAAGTCTAGACTTGTCGTTGCGGCCCTCTCCTTCACTCAGGACTCCGGCACGTGCCACTGCTCCTTCCAAGACCGCACTGCACTCACACCACTTCTTGCACCGGTTCCAGTCTCCCTAGCTGACTCGCTTGCAATACCACTACTCTCCCTTTTCTTGCTGTTCCACCTAGCTCCCTTACCAGCTTCCATGTCCCTACATTCTCCAGGAACTTGGTTGGCGTTGGCCATATCCAGGACCTCAGCGTCACCACCACAATATGCAGCCTGTACAGACGCCACCACGGGCACCCGTCTTGCCACCTTTTATCGCGACCCTGCATGTGGTCACCCTGCGTTTGGTCCCCTGAGGTAGCCGCACCCACCCAGGTTGTTTCGTCCTGCTCCTGTCACTACCTCACCTACCTGGCACTCCTGAGGTGTAAGAAATAGAGTTGAAACGATTGATTAGGTAAGGAGCCCAAGGCTCTATAAGTACATGGCAAGGTGAGAGAGAATGGATGAAGGGGGAATCGGAGGGAATCCCCATTGGGATCTCCGGAATCTCCAATTGGGTAATTGGAGATTGTGGGGATCACAATTGGGTGAGGTTGGGATTTGTGAGTACACCCCAACCCACTAGAACATTCACAACCTAAACTAGGATATAAAAGTACAAATACAAAAGTGGTATTTGCAGTCTATTTCTAACACACCCCCATAGACTGCAAACCCGGTCAAGGAGCACATAGCCCCATGGAACGGAGAAGGCGATGGTGGTCAGCCTTGCCGAGAGCCTTGGTAAAGAGGTCGGCGAGGTTGCAATCTGAGGCGATGTACCATACCGTCAGCTGGTCACTCTGAACAAGATCTCGGATGAAGAAATGACAAAGTTTGATGTGCTTGGTGCGAGAGTGGAACACAGGATCCTTGGTGAGATGAATGGCACTCTGGTTGTCACACCACAGGGTGGGCGACTGCTGGGGGTAGCCTAACTCAGCGAGGAGAAAGGAGAGCCAGCGTGCCTCTTGAGCAGCCATTGTGCCCGCGTAGAGCTCGGCCTCGCAGGACGACAGGGAGACTGCACAGGACCGAGTGGAGCGCCAGCTGATGACTCCGCTACCAAGGGTGAAGCAGTACCCTTGGGAGGAGCGTCTGTCAGTCTGGTCATCGGCCCATGAGGAGTCTGTGTATCCCTCGAGCTTGACTGGAGAGGTACCACCAAGAGTGAGGATGTGAGACTTGGTGGCTTGTAGATAGCGGAGGACCCTCTTGGCTGCAGACCAATGCGAGGCAGTGTAGCGTCTGGGGGAGACGTACCGAGAGAGGACACTAACCGGGTAAGCCAAGTCTGGTCCAGTGCACATCATGGCATACATGAGGGAACCGACTAGCTCAGGGTACGGGTCCTTGCAGGCGTCAGGAGAAGGAACTGGAGGGGCCGTGAGCTGATGCTGTAGTGGGAGTGGAGTGGAGACAGAGTTACTGGAGTCCATGTCGAACCGCTTGAGAAGGTTGTCGATGTAGGACTCCTGGGAGAGGGTGATCGTGCAAGCCTGGCGGTCACGAGTGATCTCCATCCGCAGGTAGTTCTTGAGGTCACCAAGATCCTTCATGAGAAGGGCGGAGCTGAGAGCAGACTGGACAGCTGCCATGTCGGCTGGATCTCTGGCGGCTAGAATGATGTCGTCAACGTAGACGAGGATGTAGAAGGGCTCGGAGGAGTGACGAACGAAGAGACTGGAATCTGAGGCAGAGGGATGGAAGTCAAGTGCGAGGAGGACTTCCTTCACCTTGTTGTGCCACTCACGAGGAGCCTGCTTGAGGCCATACACTGGGCGCTTCAGCTTCCACACTGTGTTGGCAGGGTAAGTGCCAGGAAACCCCGGTGGGCGTTCCATGTGAACATCCTCCTTGAGCTGGCCTTGGAGAAAGGCGGAGGAGGCGTCCATGGACTTGATCTTGAAGTTGCCGCGAGCGGCTATATCAAGAAGAGCGCGCACAGTCGGGAGCTTGGCCGTGGGCGAGAATGTTTCGAAGAAGTCGAGATACTCCTTCTGGGTGAAACCCTTCGCC